GAAACCTGGCAAAATATTACATAGTTAAATGTTCATAGAGATTGATAGATACCTGATTATATCTAGAGCCATAAGTACTATCCTATCTCAGCAAAACCTAGAAGTTGGAAGCAGAGTGAAAGAAGTAAGCAAATGTATCCTACAGGTCTCCCTTATTGGTAGAAGCAGCAGGACATGAAATATATTAATGGAAGAAATAATTGGTATAGTTTCAAATAATGATAAAGAAATATGTGTTTTATTATTATTGCTGGGAAGGAAAAGTAGCTATCAAGGTAGTGGAAAAGTATAGTAGAATTTCCAAAACAACAATGGAATAGGTGAAATGGAATGAATAGCAACATGATCAAAATATCAAAAACATGAAATGAATAAAGGACATACAATAGGATATAAGAAATAAAATGTATCATTCATTCCACTTGTGGACTCACAATTTATTCAAAAGAAGGCATACAAAGAGGGAAAAAAGAAGAAAGAATTTATGGGACAAGTAGAAAACAATAGAAAGATGGTAGATTTAAACCATATCAATAGTCATGTTAAATGTTAATGGTCTAAACACCCCAATTAAGGCCGGGTGTGGTGGCTCACGCCTGTAATCCTAGCACTCTGGGAGGCCGAGGCAGGCGGATTGCTCAAGGTCAGGAGTTCAAAACCAGCCTGAGCAAGAGCGAGACCCTGTCTCTTCTATAAAATAGAAAGAAATTAATTGGCCAACTAATATATATAGAAAAAATCAGCCAGGCATGGTGGTGCATGCCTGTAGTCCCAGCTACTTGGGAGGCTGAGGCAGTAGGATCGCTTGAGCCCAGGAGTTTAAGGTTGCTGTGAGCTAGGCTGACGCCACGGCACTCACTGTAGCCTGGGCAACAAAGCAAGACTCTGTCTCAATAAATAAATAAATAAATAAACACCCCAATTAAAAGGCAAAGATTAACAGATAGGATAAAAAAAGCAAGATCCAACTATATTCTGCTTATAATAAAACCACTGTAAATATAAAGACACAAATAGTTTAAAAATAAAATGATGGAAAAAGATATAGCATGCTAACATTAATCAAAAAAAGGTGGAGTATGGTTCACGCCTGTAATCCTAGCACTCTGGGAGGCCAAGGCGGGCTGACCGCTCAAGGTCAGGAGTTCAAAACCAGCCTGAGCAAGAGTGAGACCCCGTCTCTACTATAAATAGAAAGAAATTAATTGGCCAACTAATATATATAGAAAAAATTAGCCAGGCATGGTGGCGCATGCCTGTAGTTCCAGCTACTCGGGAGGCTGAGGCAGAAGGATTGCTAATGCCCAGGAGTTTGAGGTTGCTGTGAGCTAGGCTGACGCCATGGAACTCACTCTAGCCTGGGCAACAAAGCAAGACTCTGTCTCAAAAAACAAAACAAAACAAAACAAAACAAAAACCCCAAAACAAACAAACAAACAAAAAATCAGAGCTTCGAAAATACGTAAAACCAAAGGTAAATAGAGAAATCCACAATGATTCATCACCTCTCTCTCAATAACTGATAGAACAAGTAGAAAGAAAATCGCTAACGACACAGTGATTGAAAAATACCATCAAACATGACCTAATTGATATTTAAGAACACTCTACCCAACAACAGAGTACATATTCAAGTGCACACTTGAATCTTCATAGCCGCCTTATTAATAATAACCTCAAACTAGAAACACCCCAAATGTCCATCAACAAATGAATAAACAAATTGTGATATATTCATAAATAGAATACTACTGAGCAATAAGAAGGTACAAATCATAAGGTTGCTTTTCCTATATGAAAAAAAGGAAAAATAAATAAAGAAGGTACAAATGATATATGCAAAAGATTAATCTTAAAAATGTTACATTGAGTGAAAAATGTTAAACTGAATGAAAGCCATTCATAAAAGAGTACACACTGTAGATTTCTATGAAGTTGTAAAACAGGTAAAGCTAATATATGAGGGTAGAAATAAGTAAGCGCTTGCCTTTGATTGGGTAGTTGACAAGGGGCATGAGGGAACTTTCTGGGGGCATGGTAATGTTCTACATGTTTTGGGTGATGATTACATGGGTATATACAAAATTAGTTGAATGAAAAAGTTAAGATCTGAACTTATTTTTATTTTTATTTTTTTTGAGAGCCTCACTCTGTTGCCCGGGCTAGGGTGCCATGGCATCAGCCTAGCTCACAACAACCTCAAACTCCTGGGCTCAAGTGATCCTCCTGCCTCAGCCTCCCGAGTAGCTGGGACTACAGGCATGTGCCACCATATCTGGCTAATTTTTTCTATATTTTTTTAGTTGGTCAATTAATTTCTTTCTATTTTTTAGTGGAGACAGGGTCTCACTTTTGCTCAGGCTGGTGGAACATTTTATTGTATGTAAAATAAAGTTAAAATAAGAGATGGAGTAGGAATCCATAGATTAAAATAAATTTAACCAATTGCACAGTATAGAGTTTATTTGGATCCTGAGTTAAGCAAGCAAACAAAAAATACGAGACAAATTTGCAGTTTGAACACTGATTGCTTATTTAATGATATAAAGAACTTATTGTGGCTGGGCGTGGTGGCTGACGCCTGTAATCCTAGCACTCTGGGAGGCCAAGGCGGGAGGATTGCTCAAGGTCAGGAGTTCGAAATCAGCCTGAGCAAGAGTGAAACCCCATCTCTACTAAAAAACAGAAAGAAATTAACTGGCCAAATTAAAAAAAAAAAAGAACTTGTTACATTTTTAATATATAATTCTGTTTAAAAATATAGCTTTAGAAATAACAAAGTTATAGAATGGAGAATACATTAGTGGTTGCCAGGGATTAAGGAGGAGATGAGGTGGTAGGGAAGTAGGGGTGGCTATAAAAAGGCACCATGGGCTGGGCGCAGCAGCTCATGCCTGACATTCTTGAACTTTGGAAGGCTGAGGCAGGAGGATTGTTTAAGGCCAGGAGTTCAAGACCAACCTGAGCAACATAGTGAGACCCCATCTCTACAAAAACTAGGATAATTAGTTGGGTGTGGTGGTATGTGCCTACTTGGGAGGCTGAGGCAGGAGGATTGCTTGAGCCTAGGAGTTTGAGGTTACTGTGAGCTATGATGACGCCACTGCACTCTAACCTGGGCAACAGAGCAAAACCTTGTCTTGGAAAAAAAAAAAAAGCAACATAAAAGAGCCTGTGATAATAAAAATGTTGTGTATATTGATTATATTGTCAATATCCTGTTATGACATTGTACACAACTGTGTATAGTTTTGTAAGATGTTATCATTGGTAGAACTAGATAAAGGGGCCGTGGAATCTCTCTGTTATTTCTTACAACTACATATGAATCTGTAACTATCTCAAAATAAAGAGCTTAATTAAATGATAAATATAATTTTTTTAAAAAGCTTGGTTAGCCAATCAAAATAAACATACAAATAAACAAAATAAAAATACAATATTAAACAAAAATGGTTGGTACCCAGGAAAATATACCTAATTTTTTAAAGTAATGATCATAATGAAAAATAAAAACAACCTAGATACAATTTTATGCTTATCAGATTGGCAAAAATTTAAAAGTTGACAAAACCCAATATCAGCAAGAGGGTGGGAAGATAGGCAACACCATGTACTATAAATTCATATAAGCTTTCTAGAGAAAAGTTTAGCAGTGTGTACATTTGAAGAAAGCACCCCTAATGTTCCAGTAATTCTGCATCTAGAAAATTCCCTGAGGAAAGAGCACAAAGATATATATATATATATATTTACACAAAGATGTTCATCTACGCAGTGAGGGTGCCCTGAACTGTTTATAAGAGCAAAATATTGAGGCCGGGCTTGGTGGCTCAAAACTGTAATTCTAGCTCTTTGGAAGGCTGAGGCAAGAGGATTGCTTGAGGCCAGGGATTCAAGAGCAGCCTAAGCAACATAGCGAGATGTCATCTCTACAAAAAAATAGAAAAATTGGCCAGGCTTGGTGGTGCAAAACTGCAGTCGCAGCTACTCAGGAGGCTGAGGCAGGAGAATTGCTTGAGCCCAGGAGTTTGAGATTGCTGTGAGCTATATGATCAACCCACTGCATGCTAGCCTGGGCAACAGAGCAAGATCCTGCCTCAAAAAATGTTTTTAAAATGCAAAATATTGGAAACAATTGAAATATATGTAATTAGTTATAGTATATACATGTAATGTAATACCATGCCATCATTAAAAATAATAAGATAGATCTGTATTTATTAACATGAAAGGATGTCTTATATATACTGTTAAAATACAAAGAAAAGGATGTGCCCCACATCTCTCAGAGACCCTTGTCCTCATTTCCCCAGGAGCTAATGTTTTTCCTTTTCCTTACCCAGATGTCTCCCTAGAACCAGGTGGGGAATCTAGGTAGATAGGAGAGACACACTGTCTAGTTTCTACAATAGTTCTGAATATAAATATTTTGACCTTCTGTACCCTACCTAATATATTTTCCTATGTCCCTACAGTGTGGACACTCCTAATTTTTTTTTTTTTTTGAAGCAGAGTCTTACTCTGGGGCCTGGCCTAGTGCAGTGATGCAATCATAGCTCACTACAACCTCAAACTCCTGGGCTCAAGGGATCCTCCTGCCTCAGCCTCCCAAAGTACTGGGATTATGGGTGTGAGCCACCTCGCCCGGCCAATATCCCTTTTATAGCTGTAGAAACTGAGGTTCACAAAACAAAATTATGTGTCTCAGGTCTGTACAGGAGGTTCCTCTCCTGGATCTGCTAAAGGAAAGGGAGCCTGCTATGTGTCCTCTCAAAATGTGCCAGAGGTTGCCAGAGCAGAAGGATTCAAAGGGCATGGAAATGTGAGCTGGAGAAAGAAAAGAGGTGGGAGAAGGGTAGAGGTTGAGTTCCAGGGAGAGGCATGTGGCATGGAGAAGGTAAGGCAGGATGTCACCCCAAATTCTCACCCCTTCCCCAGTAGTACCTGTCAAAAAGTGGGCCTTCAGCAAATGAATGAATGAATGAACAAAGGAAAAAAAGGGAGATAAAGAGTTTATTGCTATATTGGAAGGAGTACAAAGTCAAGAACAAAACCCTTCTCAACCTTGGTGGCTACAGTTTTCCTGAGTCCCCCCCCCCCCAACATTTGCCAAATCTATAAGATCCCTCAAGTCTCCCCAAGTCTGGACAGTCACAGGGTGGGAGGGGATTTTGTGCCCAACCCGTGGGGATGGGACTGGAGTTCCCCCCATGCTGAGTATGTGCTCAGCTACCTACAAGTCCACTGACCTCAGACCCTGCAATTCCCTGGCCGGGGCCGGCATGCAGGCCCCATCAACTGAGAACCATGTTTGGGAACGCAGAGAGGAGCTCTGGTCCAGGCTTCGCAGGCAGAGAAGTACTTGATGGTGTCATCTGTGCAGTGAGGGTGCCCTGACCTCTAGGTATGGCAGGACCAAGATCGAGGTGTCACCAGCCCCCAGAAGGTTGTCTAAGCCAGAGAGGGGTGAATTATGAATGAGGTCACTCTTGGCGACCCACTCTGTGCATCCAAAACATGGGAGCCCATCACCCCCAAGCCAGGCCCTGGTGCCTGACCATGGCTGTTGAATTGGGGAACAAGAGGGGGCTGGCTGTTGGGAAGGGGGGTGTGTGCTCCCAGAGGGGGAGCTGGGCAAGGGTTGTGGTCCCTTACCTGGGGCAAGGGGCAGTGCCGCCGTGCATACCACTCCTGGCAGTACAGGCTGACCTGGATGCCCTGGCCCAGAAAGAGGAAGGTCCACATCAGCACATTCCACGCTGGGCCCGTGTGCTGGTCATGCATCGTGAAGTTCAGCAGCCCTGGCACAGGAGGAAAGGTTGTCACCCCAGCTGCAGATACTCGTGCCTTGTCTCCCTGGCTTCCCTCCCATCCCAGGGTAGTAGGAAAAGAAGGAACAGGAAGGGTCCACTGGGGAAGATCTTGAACCCAGCTGCAGAAACCCGTGGAGGTCCAGTGGCTCATGTAAAACCAGGATTCCTCAGTTCACACTTCAGTATCCTGATCTCACGCTGAACCTCCCAACCTCATCTGTTTTCTCCCCTCTGTTTTCCCCCATGTGCGCCCTGCTCAAATGCTCTTCAACCAGAAACCTCCTCCTGCACCCCCCGGGATACCTGCTTGCTACCTTCCTCCCCACCCCACCTCTCCAGCCCAGCAGCCTCCTCTTGGGTCCTAGTTGTTTGGCCTTCTGCCATGAGTCTGGGGTCTTCAGGAGCAGGACCCAGGCCTCCTCCCTCTGGATGGCTCCCCTCCAGTGGCACAGAGGCAAGCTCACCTCCAAAGACAAGGAAGAGCATCAGCATGACGGGGTAGAAGAACCCCAGGACGAAACAGAAGATGTACTCATGGACCACCGCGGAGACCAGGAACACGCCCAGCATGGCTGCCCCTCGGGCCCGGCCGCCCAGGAGCTGGCAGGGTGAGGGGAGGAGTGGGAAGTGAGTCTTCCTGAGCTCCAGGAAGAGCCCACTCTTTAAGGAAGCCAAGAGGGAGTGTAGTGCAATGGAAAGAATATGAGATCTGGGTCAGAAGAGCTGACATTGGTCTTATCTAAGAGCATTTCATTGGTCCGTTGGGCCTTAGCTGCAATTTTAAAATAAGAATGTAATAATACTTACTTCTCAGGGTTACTGTGCCGATTAATGTACGTGAAAGACCTTGGTAACTGAGAATTGCTACATGCATGTTCCTTACAAGGCTAAGGAGGAGAGAAATGCCCTGTGGAGGGGGTGGAATTAAGGATAAAGAAGGAAGAAAGACTGTAAGAAGGACTTCCCACCTGTTGGGCTGGGTAGAATGAGGACAGATGAAATCTAAAGGACGCTTAGGTCTGGAAAGGTGGGTGGTGCAGAGGAAGGGAAGGAGAGGATGGCTGGGAGAGCTTCCATTAACTGTGGGGGCTGAAGGGTCTGCAGAGCCCGTACCCACAGCCCATCCTGATACACGTAGCTGTACAGCCAGTCATGGACCACCACGTTCCAAGTGCGGTAGTAGTTGGAGAAGGACGTTGAGTTCCACCAGTCCTGGGGAGGGAGTGGGGTCGGGGTCGGGGAAAGGAGGTGAGTACCCCAGGCTCCAGCTGCTCTCTGCTGCTCCCTCTGCCTGCACCCTGTCCCAGTGTTCCAGAAAGGCAGAACAGAGACAGCAGGCACTGTCCCAGCTCCCTCTTCAGGACCTGGGGCCCCTGTCCTCCCTGCTTCTCCCCCTCTCAGGAAAAGAAGATTCTATAGTATCATTCCCACAAAAGCAATTAGCCCTGGCTGGTTGGGAGGTGGAGGGTAGCGCTATGACCACACCTAGAGGACCACGTTTCTCACTGTGGGAGCTGGGCAGCACAGCTGAGGGAACACCCAACACAGCCACCATCTTCCCCAGATCCCTCCCTAACCCTCCTTGCCTCCAGCGTCCAACTGGCCCAGGTCCAGGCCCTCACCCGGTAGAACATTCGGTCTCCAAATCGTAGCATCTCTGCGAAGGCATTGAGCCAGCAATGGAGGAAGGCAAAGAAGATGAGTAGCAGCATGAAGATGCCTGGTGTATGGGGACAAGGGGCTGCAGGTCAGACGGCCCTACCTGGACCCCCCAGTAGCCCTGATCTAGGCTCTGAGGAGCCCCTGCCCAGCAACCAGGGCCCCAACTCTTACAAGTCACTTATTAGTCATTCACAAATTCATGCATTCATTAATTCATCCATTTGCTCATGTGCATTTACTTGGCATCTACTCTATGCCAGATGTTGAGAATGCAAAGATGGATCTCATAGCCCCTAGCCACCGGGAGTTCACAGTGTTTGGAGACAGAGATACAGAGACAGAGACAAAGAGACGTGTCCAACCACGTAGCAAGGTCAAATGTAATGGGAGCTAAGCATGGTGGCCATCAATGTGCTAGGGAGTGGCAGGGCAAGGGGTGCATCATGGTAGTTGATGGCTAGAAAAGGAAGGCTTCTCAGAGGAGGGGACATCTCAGCCATGAGCCTCCAAGGAACTAGATTCCACAGCTGGAAAATGTGGAAAGGGTATTCTAGGCCGGGCGAGGTGGCTCACGCCTGTAAATCCTAGCATTCTGAGAGGCCGAGGCGGGAGGATCGCTCGAGGTCAGGAGTTCGAAACCAGCCTTAGCAAGAGCGAGAGCCCATCTCTAATATAAATAGAAAGAAATTAATTGGCCAACTAATATATATATAGAAAAAATTAGCTGGGCATGGTGGCGCATGCCTGTAGTCCCAGCTACTCGGAAGGCTAAGGCAGTAGGATTGCTTGAGCCCAGGAGTTTGAGGTTGCTGTGAGCTAGGCTGAGGCCACGGCAATCACTCTAGCCTGGGCAACAGAGTGAGACTCTGTCTCAAAAAAAAAAAAAAAAAAGAAAGAAAGAAAGAAAGGAAGGAAGAAAGGGTATTCCAAGCTGAGGGACCAGTATGAGCATAGGCCTGGAGGCATGGAAGTACATGTCTTTCAGGGCTCGTGGTGGGATGAGAAGACAGGCTGGGGCTGCATGGGAAGAGGCCTCGAATGCCAGACCAAAGTCAAATCTTATCTAGAAGTGCCAGCAATGGGTAATCACTGGAGGTTTTGAAGCAGGGTAGGGAATGAGTCACTGGTCGTCGGGAAGTTTGCCTGGGTGGCAATGTCAGGGCTAGATGGGAGAGGAAAGATTTGGGTGCCAGGGAGATAGGTTAGGAGGCTGATGTGGACGGGGGTAGGCTAATAATCTGAACTGAAATCACGCAATGAGCACTGACAGGAGGGGACAGATAGAAGGGAAGCTTCAGAGGGGGAAGGTGTTAAAACTGACGGAAGGTGAAGAGCGAGGCCTTCCCTAGCCCTGCCTGGGTGGACTTACCTGGCAATGTGGCATGCAGGATAGAGAGCACCAGGGCACGGGTGCTGAAGGGCTCTCGGCTCATGTTGGCAAAGACAGGAACGCAGAGGCGACCCAGGATGAAGCAGGCGTAGAGCACACAGCCCAGGGCCTGGGGAGGGATGGGGCACACACCTTTGGGAGCTGCCTGAGGGACCCAACCTCTGGCCCAGCAGCTGCCTCCTCTTCCCTTAGCACCACCCTCCCGACTCCTTCCCAGGCCTCCCCCACCTCACTCCCAGCAATGTCTCCTCAGCCACCGTGAGTCACAGGTGGTCCACCCTTCTGCCCCATCTTCTGACCTGGGCAAAGTTCTTGGCCACATAATTCCACCTGACGCTGGGTGTCCTGCAGCAGCAATGGGGATAATATGTTTCTCACCCTTTTATGCAGTTCCCTCCTCAGGCCGGCATGGGTTCCAGGGCCTCTCTCCGCAGCTCCTTCAATCCCTCAGGCCTGGGAGGACTATTTGGGGACGTGGGGTCTAGGACACTTTGGATTTTTCATAACAGAGATGACTAGTGGATTTTTAGCTTGAGTGACAACTCAGGTGACCAGTCACGAAGAGTATTCCTGGGATGTGTAAGATTTTCAGTACTAAAATTGGGACAGTCTTGGGTAAACCAGGACAGTTGGTTACCCTTGTGTCATCATGGGCTGCCCAATGAGAAGGAGTAGTCTACTTGCCACTTATTTCCCACCTTTATTATGGGATGCTTCCTGAGGGTGTGGCCAGTGCCTGAGGTGAGACCGAGGTGCTCAGGGAAGGGAGAGCAGAAGGCAAGGTCCTGGGGCCAGGGCACTGGGGGAAGAGATGCGAGGTCTTACCTGGGATAAGTCTCCCTGTAGATGAGTGTGGGGCAGAACAGGAAGTAGAGGTAGCTGGAGAAACTGGGGGCCCGGGGCCCTTCACCTGAGGAGGAATAAGCAGGTGGATTAGGGAGCAGGAGGGGCAGAGGTGGGTAGGCTGCTGGGGAAGGGTGGTGGGATTGGTGAGCGGAGAAACGGATAGGACAGAGGTGGAGGGAGGAGGAGGCGCTGGATGTAGGATCTGGATGCGGGCCGGGGGAGGCAAGTGGGCAAGCAACAAACCTGCTCTTTAATATCCCTCTTTGCTTCCATTCTAGGCACCCCATTTCCCAGCAGGACCTGCTGTGGCCAGAGCCTCACTTGGCGCCCACAACCATTCTCCTTCCCTTCTATCCTGACTTCCCAATACAGGCATACCTCATTTTATTGCACTTTGCTTTATTGTGCTTCACAGATATTGCATTTTTTAACAAAGTGAAGGTCTGGCAACCCTACATCGAGCAAGTCTGTCAGTGCCATTTTCCCAACAGCACCTGCTCACTACATGTCTCTGTGTCACATTTTCATAATCTCACAATATTTCAAACTTTTTCATTATTACTATATCTGTTATGGTGATCTGTGATCAGTGATCTTTAGTATTACTATTGTAATTGTTTTAGGATGCCTCACACCACATCCATAGAAGACCATAAACTTAATAAATGTTGTGTGTGTTTTGTTCCACTGACCGACACTTCTATCTCCTCTCTTTGGGCCTGCCTATTCCCAGAGACACAACAATATTAAAATCAGGCCAATTAATAACCTTATAATGGCATCTAAGTGTTCAAGTAAAATGAATAGTCAAACATCTCTCACTTTAAATCGAAAGTTAGAAATGATTAAGCTTGGTGAAGAAGGCATGTCAAAAGCCAAGCGAGGAGAAAAATGAAAAATAAAGTTGAACTCAATCCTCTGTGCTGACAAAAAAATCAATAAATAAAGGAAGAGAGAAAGAAAAGAAAAAGCCAAGATAGGCTGAAAACTAGGCCTCTTGCACCAAACAGTTCGCCAAGTTGTGAATGCAAAGGAAAAGTTCCTGGAGTAAATTAAAAGTGCTACTCCAGGCCGGGCGCGGTGGCTCACGCCTGTAATCCTAGCACTCTGGGAAGCCAAGGTGGGAGGATTGCTCGAGGTCAGGAGTTCGAAACCAGCCTGAGCAAGAGCGAGACCCCATCTCTACTATAAACAGAAAGAAATTAATTGGCCAACTGATACATATAGAAAAAATTAGCCGGGCATGGTGGTGCATGCCTGTAGTCCCAGCTACTTTGGAGGCTGAGGCAGGAGGATCGCTTGAGCCCAGGAGATTGAGGTTGCTGTGAGCTAGGCTGACACCACGGCATTCACTCTAGCCTGGACAACAAAGCGGACTCTGTCCTCAAAAAAAAAAAAAAGTGCTACTCCAGTGAACACATGAATGTTAAAAAAGCAAAACACCCTAATTGCTGATATTAAGAAAGTTTGAGTGGTCTGGATAGAAGATCAAAACAGCTATAACATTCCCTTAAGACAAAGCCTAATCTGGAGCAAGTCCCTAAGTCTCTCTCTATTTTTTTTTTTGTGACAGAGACTCGCTTTGTTGCCCAGGCTAGAGTGAGTGCCGTGGCGTCAGCCTAGCTCACAGCAACCTCAAACTCCTGGGCTCAAGCAATCCTTCTGCCTCGGCCTCCCAAGTAGCTGGGACTACAGGCATGCGCCACCATGCCTGCTAATTTTTCTATATATTATTAGGCCAATTAATTTCTTTCTATTTATAGAGAACGGGTCTCGTCTGCTCAGGCTGGTTTCGAACTCCTGACCTCAAGCAATCCTCCCGCCTTAGCCTCACAAGTGTTAGGATTACGGGCGTGAGCCACCGCGCCTGGCCCCTAACTTTCTTTAATTCTATGAAGGCTAAGAGAGGTGAGTAAGTTGTAGGAAGAAAGGTTGAAGCTAGCAGAGTTTGATTCATGAGGTTTAAAGGAAGAAGCCATCTCTATAACACAAAAATACAAGGTAAAGCAGCAAGTTCTGATCTTGAAGCTGCCACAAGTTATCCAGAAGATCTAGCTAAGGTAACAGATGAAGGTGGCTATACTAAACAATAGATTTTCAATGTAGACAAAACAGCCTTCTGTCGGAAGAAGATGCCATTTAGGAATTTCATAGCTAGAGAGGAGAAGTCAATGCCTGGCTTCAAAGTGTAGGACAGGCCAGGAGGGGTGGCTCACACCTGTAATCCTAGCACTCTGGGAGGCCGAGGCGGGTGGATTGCTCAAGGTCAGGAGTTCGAAACCAGCCTGAGCAAGAGTGAGACCCCCGTCTCTACTATAAATAGAAAGAAATTAATTGGCCAACTAATATATATAGAAAAAAATTAGCAGGGCATGGTGGCACATGCCTGTAGTGCCAGCTACTAGGAAGGCTGAGGCAGGAGGATTGCTTGAGCCCAGGAGATTGAGGTTGCTGTGAACTAGGCTGATGCCACGGCACTCACTCTAGCCTGGGCAACAAAGCGAGACTCTGCTCCAAAAAAAAAAAAAAAATGTGTCAAAGGACAGATTGACTCTCTTGTTAGGGACTAATGCAGCTGATGACTTTAAGTTGGAGCCAATGCTCATTTTTCATCCAAAAAATGCTAGAGCCCTTAAGAATCATGCTACTTTGCCTGTGCTTTACCAATAGAACAGAGTCTGATGACAGCACATCTGTTTACAGTATAGTTTACTAAATATTTTAAACCCACTGTTGGCCGGACGAGGTGGCTCACGCCTATAATCCTAGCTCTCTGGGAGGCTGAGGTGGGAGGATCGCTCAAGGTCAGGAGTTCGAAACCAGCCTGAGCAAGAGCGAGACACCATCTCTACTAAAAATAGAAAAAAATTAATTGGCCAACTAAAAATATATAGAAAAAAATTAGCCAGGCATGGTGGCGCATGCCTGTAGTCCCAGCTACTTGGGAGGCTGAGGCAGGAGGATTGCCTGAGCCCAGGAGTTTGAGGTTGCTGCGAGCTAGGCTGACGCCACGGCACTCTAGCCTGGGCAACAGTGAGACTCTGTCTCAAAAAAAATTAAAACAACTTATTATTTATTTATTTTGAGACAGAGTCTCCCTTTGTTGCCCAGGCTAGAATGAGTGCCTCAGCCTCCTACATAGCTGGGACTACAGGCATGCGCCACCATGCCCGGCTAATTTTTTCTATATATATTAGTTGGCCAATTAATTTCTTTCTATTTATAGTAGAGATGGGGTCTCACTCTTGCTCAGGCTGGTTTTGAACTCCTGACCTCGAGTAATCCACCCGCCTCGGCCTCCCAGAGTGCTAGGATTACAAGTGTGAGCCACCACGCCCGGCCAAAAAAATCTTATTATTTAAGAAATACATTCTGTAAGGCTATAGCTGCCATAGATAGTGATTACGCTGATGGATCTGGGCCAAATCAATTGAAAACCTCTGGAAGGAATTCATCATTCTAGATTCCATTAAGAACATTCATGATTCATGGGAGAAAGTCAAAATATCAACGTCAATAGGAATTTGGAAGAAGTTGATTCCAACCCTCACGGATGACTTTGAGGGGATGAAGACTTCAGTGGAGAAAATAACTGCAAATGTGTTAGAAATATTAATAGCAAGAGAACTGGAATTAGAAGTGGAGCCTAAAGGAGTGACTGAATTGCTACAATCTCGTGATAAAACTTTAATGGATGAGGAGTTGTTTCCTATGAATGAGCAAAGAAAGTGGTTTTTTGAGATGCAATCCACTCCTTGTGAAAATACTGTGAACACTGTTGAAGTGACATCAAAGGCTTCAGAATATTATATAAACTTAGTCGATAAAGCAATGGCAGGGTTTGCGAGGACTGACTTCAATTTTGAAAAAAGTTCTACTGTGGGCAAAATACTATCACACAGCATCACATGCTACAGAGAAATCTTTCGTGAAAGGAAGAGTCAATCAATGTGACAAACGTCATTGTCTTATTTTAAGAAACTGCTACAGCCACCCCAAACTTCAATAACTGCCACCCTGATCAGTTAGCAGCCATCAACATCAAGGTTAGACCCTCACTGAAGGCTCAGAAAATCATCAGCATTTTTAACAATAAGGTTTTTTTAATTAAGGTATGTACAGTGGGGTTTTTGTTTTTGTTTTTTGAGGCAGAGTCTCACTCTGTTGCCCAGGCTAGAGTGCCACCGTGGCATCAGCCTAGCACACAGCAACCTCAAACTCCTGGGCTCAAGTGATCCTTCTGCCTCAGCCTCCCGAGTAGCTGGGACTACAGGCATGTGCCACCATGCCTGGCTAATTTTTTCTCCCATCCAAATAATTTTTTCTACGTATTTTTAGTTGGCCAATTAATTTCTTTCTATTTTTAGTAAAGACAGGGTCTCACTCTTGCTCAGGCTGGTTTCGAACTCCTGACCTTGAGTGATTCACCCGCCTTGGCCTCCCAGAGTGCTAGGATAACAGGCTTGAGCCACCACACTGCCCAGTGCATTGTGTTTTTAGACACATGCCATTGCACACTTCATAGACTACATACAGTATAGTATAAACATAACTCTTAATACACTGAGAACCCCAGAAATTCATGATTTGTTTTATTCCAGTGGTCTAAAGCCATACCCACAATAGCTCTGAGGTATGCCTCTATGAAGTTCTCATACACTGGATCTTTTCAGGTGGGGCCTGGAAATAGGAAAATGCCAGAAGTCCTGGATAGCAGAAAGGCCATCTCTCAGAGATGGGACCTGAGAATGCCTAATGACCCACAGAGCCTAGTGGGAGGCCAGAGTTGTGCCCTGTGGGCAAGGTGGCACTGGGGAGGGCAGGGCTTTTATTTATTTTTTTTATAAATTTTTTTTCTCTTATTATATTATTTTTTTCCTATTTGAAAATTTAAAAAAATATTTAAATCAATTTTCCTCCATGGATAAACAAGAAGCTGAAGGGCAGGGTTTTTATAAGGATCCTGCAACAGCTGGCTTCATGCAACCAGCCCAGTGGACCGAGTTCGCAAGAGGGCCAGTTGCCCGACTCACCTCCTCTGGCACGAAGGGTCCCAGGCACAGCCTCTCTCAGGAAGGAGTAGCTCTTCATCAAGAGCCTGACCTGAGGTGGAGTGGAAGGGAGGCCAAGTGGCTTTGGGCCAATCACTTAACCGCTCTGTGCTCTCATGCACCACAGAGAGACATGCCAGTGTAGAATCCGTGTGGTCGGATCGCCTTATAGCCTAACAGTGCGCCGCTGGGATGAAGGGGAAACTTAGGGGGACAGGAGAGGCCTGGACGGAGTCTTCACTCAGCCAAGCCCGTGTGACTGTGACTGCGGCGTCAGACTATGTTTGCGAAGTGGTGAAGTGGCGCCTCTTTCGTTTACTGTTCCTTAGAGGCTGCAGGTTCCCCCAGGTCCCTCACAGCAGACTCTGCCCCTTGTCACTAGCTCCCCCTGCCAATTCTCTACCAAACGCGCTTCTGCTCTTTGAGAGCGGCCCCTGCGGGGATGGCCTGCCTGTTCCCTCTTGTCCCAGTGGCGCTCACCCCTCACCTGCTCAAAGACCAGGACGCAGCGCGAGGCGGGCGGGAGCTGGTGCGCCACCGCCACGTGGAGCGGCAGGGCGCAGAGCACCGCTGCGTGGGCGGCCAGCAGCAAGCAGCCCAGGCCCGCCCCCAACGCCCCGGCGGCGCCCCGGGGCCCCGCCCTCGCCCACAGCCGCAGGGCCTGGTAGGGCACCAGCAGTGTGGACAGGAACATGGGGACCCACGTCACCAGCGCCAGGGGCAGCTGTCCGAAGCTGAAGATCAGTAGGTCAAACTCCAGCACCAGCCTTGCAGTGGGAAAAGAGAGACAAAGTGGACAAAAGTGTAGCCTTTCCTTGTCCCCTTACTCTTCAATCAGAGCTGCTGGAAAATAAACTGAGGTATTTTGATCAGGTTGTGAGCTACGTATCCCTGGAGGTGTTCAAGATGGCACCTCTGTGGCCCAGGGCTTCTGGAACCTGGTGCTGTCAGAGAAGACTTAGTCATGGAATGGGTTTTGACTGTAAGTAACCTGTAGAGGCCTCTGAATTTCACGGTGTTGCAGGAGGACTCAGTACTCTGTGTGTACAAGTGTTAGGTATGAGGTATTTAGACTTTGATTTTCCTTAGTTTTGTTCCTTTGGAGTGTCTATAGCTGTAGACTTGAGCTAATTAGGATGCAGATTGTTCAGAGTTTTGTTTGCCTAGGTTAAGAGTGTATGGTTTGTGAAAGGGAAAAGTTGGAAACAACCTAAATGTCCATTAATGGAAGACTAGATGAACAAAATCTGGCACCTCTATACTCTGCGGTTGTTAAAATGGAAAGATTCCTAAGAGAGATTATTAGGGAGTAGAAACAAATTACAAAATAATAGGTACAGCATTTTATTTATGTAAAAGCCCCACAACGGACATCTCTTTGGTGCTTATATACATATGGATGTCAATGCATGAAAAATGCTCTGGAAGGAAACTCAAAACTGTACAAAATGGTCACCTCTGGGGAGAGGTCTGGGACTGAGGGCGTGGGCAAGGAGGACTGTAATTTTATGGTAAAAAGTGTATTTGCGGCGTTGGTTGGCTCACCCTGTAATCCTACATTTTGCGTAGCCGAGGCGGCGGTTTGCAAGGCAGTTCGAGTGTCAAAACGAGGAGCCTGAGGCAGCCCTGTCTCTACAAGCTAAGTAGCGAAATAATTACTTGAATGAACTAATATAGGTATATTACAATAAACAATCGCCGGCAATGTGGCGCATGCCTTGTACGAGTCTACTCGGAGGACATGAGCCTGAGAATCGCTTACCGCCGGAGACTTGAGGTTGGCGTGAGCCACGGGCGTGACGCACGGCACTCACTCTAGCGTAGAGGCCAACAAAGTGGACTCTGTCTCAAACAAAAAATATAAAAAAAAATTAAATATTAAGTGTATTTGAACTTTTCACTGAGATTTCATCCTTATAAAACTTGGATAATGGACAATAAAAATTTTACCAAAAGGAAGGACTATTGCTGAACTTTCAGATTCTTGGTCTTCTTCTTTTTGCTGCTTTCTAAGGCTGACTTAGGGTGAGGTCAGGGGACACGAGAATACAGACCCCCAGGGGCAGACCGCCCTCTGAAGCTCATCCTCAGAGTTGCAGGGGTGCTCTGTGGGAAGAACAATCCACCAATGCACTTGTGTGCATGTCGGCTTCTCTGGAGTACCTCACAGACAGGGATGGGGTCTGCCCTGCTCACTGGCCCCCAGGGCTGGTACTCAGTAGGTGCTCAGTGGCTGTTACTTGAGTTGACTAGAACTGACTTGGACAGGAAGGTGCGTGGGTGCGCATGTGTGTGCATCTGCCTCAGGGCAAGGTTCTCACTGAGAAGTTTCTGAGAGGGAGCATGGTGTCACCAGAGTGTCTGGCTCCGGGAGGCAGACCAAGGGCCATCCAAGGCTGCCAAGGGAAGGGGTCCTAGAGACAGTTTTAGGTGGGAAGGTTGTTGGAAGCAATGTGGGTCACTGGGGACCCAGAGCACCTGACCAGATTGGGGTGCCTATCCCAGGTGGGAGGGGGCCTACCTGCCCTCATCGATGAAGTCGATGGCCAGCGTGCTGATGATGAAGACACACAGGCCGGCGATGAACATGTGGTAGATGGTGCGGAAGTGCTGTACTTCCATCAGCTCACTAGAGGGACAGGGACCTGAAGGTCAGTCTGGGAGAGTCCCGAGTCACGCGAACTGGCTCAGGGTCTGTGCACTTGAGGACATGGAGCCTAGTGATCTGGACCTGCCAGCTAAAGGCTGGCATGTAGCTGGGACTTCTCCTGGTGGGCTTTCTTCCACGGCCATGCCCAGGGCAAATGGGGGAAAAGGAACCTTAGAAACCATCTCCAAGTCCTCCCCACAAACCACATGGAGCCCAGGGACGGGAAATGAGGTGACCTGGCTCCTCAGCTGAAGCCTTTTCTTTTCTTCCTGTGCCCTGTCCTCACCCCTGACTTACTCAAGCAGGGACTTGCGGATGATGAAAACTTTCCGTTTCCCCAGGGGTGGCTCCCGGGTCCTGAATTGAGACATTTGTTCAGAGTTAGGCCAGGAAGGAAGAAGGCAGTGGGGAGAGGGCAGGGCCATGCAGAAGGTCAATACTTGGGAACCAAGGGCAGTAGTAGGGGAAGGTCAGGGCCAGGGCAGAGCATGGCCCAGAAGGTGGAGGCCTATGTCGGGATGACAAGATACTATGGGGAGAAGAGGGAAGGCTGAAGTCAGGGTCATGCCAAGGCTGGTAAAGAACGCATAAGATGGTGGCTATGGTCTATGATCCTTGCTATGGAGGGGCTGGCTGCAGCCGTTCCCCAGCCCCCTGGCCCCTCAGACTCACCTGCTCAAGGAATCTACGGGAGTGGAGGGCAGAGGCCTGCCTTGTTGGGGATAAGATTGTACCGCCTCCCATATGACCCGGTCCAGCAGCTCTGTCAGCTGTCCCTGAGCTTGCTCCAGCAACTGTGTCTTCACAGCCTACAGGACAAAGACAGGGCAGGGCCCACTGTCCCTCCATGCAGTCAGTCATCCTTTCATTCACTAAACATTTACTGAGCTTCCCTCTGTACCAGGCACAGTGCTATGTGCTAGGCACAAAAAGATGAACAAGCCATGGTTCCTTCCCACAGGTTCCCCAGGAATTGATCTTCTGGCTTCCCAGGGCAGCAGTGAGGACCAAGGAATGGCAGCAGGAGCAAGGCTTCCACTCTCGGCGTTCGAATTCCAGCCACGTCACCTCTGATCCTCACTCTCTTACCCCTGACCACTAGCCCCACGAACAGGAAGACTGATCACTAGCTGACTTAGTCCCTGACCTGAGGACTTGTGCTTTGAACCCGCCATCTTAAGCCTGAATTCTACCCTGATCTTTGAACTCAAGAACAAATCATCTTAGGCCGGGCGCGGTGGCTCACGCTTGTAATCCTAGCACTCTGGGAGGCCGAGGCGGGCGGATTGCTCAAGGTCAGGAGTTCAAAACCAGCCTGAGCGAGACCCCGTCTCTACTATAAAAATAGAAAGAAATCAATTGGCCAACTAATATATATATATAAAAAATTAGCCGGGCATGGTGGCTCGTGCCTGTAGTCCCAGCAACTCGAGAGGCTGAGGCAGTAGGATTGCTTGAGCCCAGGAGTTTGAGGTTGCTGTGAGCTAGGCTGACGCCACGGCACTCACTCTAGCCTAGGCAAGAAAGCGAGACTCTGTCTCAAAAAAAAAAAAAAAAAAAGAACAAATCATCTTTATCACCAAGCCAGTCCTTAGCCCTGCCTCCCACCACCCCAGGACCTCTCCATCTTGACCTCTGACCTCTGATGTCCCTCCCTTACCTCCATATGTTGGGACCATTGCACCAAGTCTGGGGCTCTGTGCATCTCAGCATTTCCTAGGAGGAGGGAGCAAAAGACACACTCAAGGGGGACCAGTTAGTGTTCTGCCGCTTTGTGCAGACTCAGAGGCATCCTCTGTCCAGGATGGACATGCTCTCTGAATGCTCAGCAGCCTTTCCCCTACCCCGCCCCAACCCACCAATATCTAGTGTCGTGGGTGAGCAACTAGAAGGGGAGTTGCTTTTGTAGGGAGTGCAGAGGCCATTAACAAGCAAGGGGCCTGATGACAAGACTAGAAACTGCCCAGGGAACAGGAAGCTGCTCTGTTCACCCTCTGGGGTTAAAGGATCAGAAAGATAAGGTAAGGCCACAGCTCTCAATAGCCCCTTTCTCCTCCATCTCTCAACTGGGTGGCTTGGGGCAGGGCCGGGGTCTGCCTTCCTTGACCTCCCAGGACAGCAGGAAGGATTGATATTAGACAGCAGGAGCATCCCCTCAACAAATGCATCTCTCCCCAACCCCTCTTGAGCCTCTGTACTCCCAGAGGGTGGCTTACCTTCTCCAGAGCGTCGCTCCTCCTGCTCCCCTTTTGGTCCGTCTCTCTTCCTCAAATGGCGCCCCCTGGGCTCCATGATGTGGCTCTTGAGTGGGCAGCAGGCAGCCCTTGCCTGGGTTCCCTCCTTTCCTTCCCAGCCTGCCCTGCCCTGCTCAGCTCCTATCTCACTCAGCTCAGCTGGCAGCTCCAAAGACTAAAGTCCTTTCAGGAGGAGAGGGCCTCCTGGAGCGCGATAGGTTATCTGATCCAGAGGGCAGCTTCTCAGGTATAGGCTCTGCTCTGCTGTCTGTCGCAGGAAGAGTTGCATCCCTCTAACACCCCAATCACCGCCCAGACTCCTGGCTTCAAGTGTGCTGTCCCTCCCACAGGAATGGTGACTGTGCATGGGGAGGGGAACTTTGCCTCTCTGAGGCTAAACCAGCACGGCTAGCCTTCCATCGCTCCCCAACAGGCTGGCGGTCAGGGAGGAGCCAGAACATCTTCATGTACCAGTGCATTCCACTCCCTTAGACCACAGGAGTGTGATTGTATGCATGCAGTAACTTCTCATGGGGTTGCACCCCTGATACTCATGGTGGTGGGGCCCCTCCAGGAAATGCTGGGTGCCAGTGTCCTGAAAGTCACCTCTTCCTGACACTGCTGGGGTTAGCATGTAGGCAGACAGGAGAGTAAACAAACACTTATTCAGCACCTAAGGATTGCCAGGTATTGTCACACACAGAAGAACCAGGAATGAACCTTCCTCTATTATTTACTGGCTGCATGATTTCAGGCGAGTGATCCAAACTTTTGAAGACACAGTTTCCTCCTCTGAAAAATAGGGCAAAATCCCTAACTCCCAAGGTTATTGTTAGCACAAGAAGAGGCAGTCCACGTAAACTCACATGGTTCAGGGCCATGGGATGAGCTCACATATAAATAACAATTTCCTTCCTGTTTTAGTAAGGAAGTAACAGAAGAGTAAGGGCTTTGAGAGTTCCTCTTTGCTGGGTTCCTGCTAGCGATTAACTATTAATCCTTCCCCTCCCCTTGTGTCCAAAGATCAGTGTTAGAAACAAGGTCACAACAGATTGAGGCCACGATCTCAGTGATTCCCCCCATCCCCCCAACTCCCCGTGGGTAGCTGGGTGAGGCTTGAGGGCTCGAAGGCTCTGTCAGTGGCTGTCTCCCATGTTCCAAGTACAGCGGGAAGAACTGAAGGTAGTTCCCAGGAAAGGGAGAATGCGTGGGTGGGCTGCAATGGGGACAGAGAGAGGACCAGGGGCTCCTGAACTGTGAGAGGTAGACACAGAGACATAAGCCAGAGAGACCCCCAACACAGCTTTATTAACACCCCAAACCAACACCAACAATCTCTCCAACCAGATGTGAGGGGGCAAGGGGTCAGGGCCCGAAAGTGGATTGTGAGGCTCAGAGCCCCTGCGTTAGTCATCACTCCACAAATAACCCAAGTTGATGGCCTCATGCTCCTGCTAGTGGCCCTGCAGCCCCTCTCACCCACCAGCTTCAGCCACTACTCCCGGTGGGGCAGGGGGAGCTTCCTTCGCCATCTGGAGACCCTGCCAGGGGCTGGCCCATCCGATCCACACACCAGCAGGGTCCTCGGCGCTGGCCCTGGGAGGAGCGGCACTGGGGAGAGAGGCACACAGATCAGGGGCCAGACAGAGGCTTCCAGCAGGAGAAGGGCGGGGACTCCTGGGGCTGAAGATGCACGAGCATCAGGGAGTTCTCTCAGGACAGTGAGGCCCACTAGGCTCCCTTTCCTTGGCTCCCCCTCTTCAACCAATAAATTGTGTGCATTCTGCTAGCCCAGAACAGGAGTTTTCTAAGTGCTGTTCCCAAACCAACAGCACCAGCACCACTAGGGAGCCTGTTAGAAATGCAAATTCTCAGGCCCCACCCCAGATCTACTGAATGGGATACTGCAGGTAGGGCTCAGCCAGTAGGCTGTCCCAGGTCCACAAGCCCTCCAGGCCATGCTGATGCCTCGAGTTTGACAGCCGCTGAGCTAGTCCATTCCCTAGGTCCTTTAAGTCCTCTACTACAATGTGTGCTTGGTTATTCTTTGTCTGTGTGGGTCCTAAAGTTGGAAGATCCTTAAAGACAGGGGAAGTGTCTTATTTATGCAACTTTGTAAAACCCCCCCCATCCCCATGGGAACCTCATGCTGGAGCAAGGGGAAAAGATGCAGAGTCTCACCTGCCGCTTCCGGTAGAAGCCTCGATGGTCACAGTTAGGCACATAGAGGGTGTGAGCCCCTCGGTAGACCTCGGTCTGGAGTTGCTGCAGCACTGACTCCAGGTGTCTCCGGCATGGGCCCTGGGGAGGGAGAGCAGGCAGCTCAGGACCACTCCAGCCCAGCTCCCCTGCATTGCCCACTGGTCCCACCAGCCAGGCTCCTAGGGCCGGCACCAGAGACCTCTCCAAGCCCAAGGGAGAAATCTCAGATGGAAGTCTCCAGGGCTCCCCACCCCTCCTGCCCCAAACGCACCATCTCAGAGTCCTGGACACTCCCAGAACTGGGCCGGGCTGGGGTGGTAGAGGTCCCTGGATTCCTCTGTGGGTCTCTGCGGGTCACGTCCTGTGGGCGGGCATTCTCTGCCTGGGGCTTACTGTCCTTGCGATTCTCCTCTACAACCCCAGGAAGAATGGGAAAAGAAGGGGTCAGAAATCAGGCAGACGCCAATGGTCAGAGCCACGTGGAGAGGGGCCCTCTCACCACTACCCATTGATGTGGGAGACAGAAGGGGCCTTATGGATGGGGAGAAAAGTGTTGGGAGTTAGAACCTGGCTCCGCTGTTACCGTATGCTGGCCTTAGTTTCTTTCTCTGACAAATAGTTCTATGACTTTTCCTGACAATATTCCCTAATAGTCCCCAGTATAATTTTAAGGCTTATAAGGGAGAAGCATTTTGGAAAGCAAAAGCCAAGAACAAATTCAAAGTACTATAAGTTACTGCAAGGCTTTGGGCTTCCACTGAGAAGACATGGCTGTTCCACCAGAGACCAGAAGGGGGTGCACCAAGCCAGGAAGATGGGGCAGTAGAACAACGATGTAGGAAGGGGTCAACAGGGACCTAAGTGGAATGCATGTCCCTGCTGTGACCCTGCTGTGACTCAGCCCACCTCCCCAGGCCTGAGATGTGGTTACTTTTGGGGCACTGCAGTGGGGACCTCTCCCTCTGGTCCCCTGTGGCTCAGGCCAGGTCAACTTTGTGGTCCCAGGAGCATGTGGATTCAACTCTTAACCAGGATGGGCTGAGGGCAGGTTGCAAAGGTGCAGGGGATGAGGGGCTTCCAACTGGCAGGTTGCTCTTGGCTCTGGAGAAAGTTCCTGGGGGGCCTGAGGAGAGCTCAGGACTGGGAAGGGGTGAGGAAATAAGTCAAGGCTAAGAAAAGGCAGGGAGGGGAGCATGTACTGCTTGGAATTTGTCCCAGCTGTAAAATTAGATATTGGAACCCCTGAAGAGGTCCTCTTTCTCCCTCCATGTCCAAAGACAAGCTCCCAAGTAACTGCTTCTTGCAATGGAGAGCCATTTCCTCTGTAATCCTGAGTGTGACCCTTCTCCCTCAGGGTACCCCGCCCACCTCAGATCTTGTTCTGAGTTCCCTCCATTTACTACCCAGTCATGACCATGATCCACACTGCCTTCTCCCACCCGACCACCTCTTCTAGAAGGACCCCTAGAAGCCTGCACTCAGGCATTTGGAACTGAAAGAAACACCAAGTTAATTTTCCATCCCTTGTGATGGAAGAAACTAGAAGCTCAGATTCGACTGGGATAGGGGCAGTTTGCATTTCCTGCCCTCCTCATCTCCCTGCTGCCCCAACCCCCCATCTTTTGGGTGCTGATTCACTTCTGTCCCACCCACCCAGTGACTCAGCTTGCATTCTCCTCACTGCAGTAGGGTGGGGTAGGTGGGTGAAGGGTTCTGAGCAGGTTTAAATCTAACCCTGATTTGGCAGATTCCCTGTTTTCCCACCTCTTTCTCCCTCCCCCTGGGCCAACGCAGTGCCTGCCCTCTGTCCCTAGTCAAGTCTAATACAACTCTGGATTTGGGGCATCTTCGATCCTAGACCTCTTCTGTTCAGGTGCTTCGCACACTGGTATTAAGAGGACAGAAGGAGACATTTCTCAGCCTGTGCAGAATTTGGACGTCTGGGGTTCTCTTCCCTCCTTATCCAAGCAGAAGCTGGGAACAACATTTGGGTCCTTTCTCCAGCTTGAGCATCTAGGGTTGAAGGAGCTGGGCCTGCAGGGGCACATGGGATGCCCGAAAACCCTCCATTCCCCCTCCCTCGTCTGCTCCCTCTAGAGAAAATAAATAGAGGGATCAAAAAAGAAGGCGGAGAGCTCAGACACCTTTCTCCCCAGGTCCCCTAGCCACACGCCACCCTCCTAGCAGCTTCCTGCTGCTTGCCCCTTCCCCACCTCCAAGATGCCCCCCAGGTCGGGGAGTAGGAAGCATCTCCGGCAGGACCCCGGGGCTTGCAGGGTCACCCAGCTCGGGAGATGCGGGCCCCACGTGGGCGGGGCAGGGGCGGGACGCGGACTCACCCGCGGGCGCGCGGGGCCGGCTGCAGCTGCCTCGGCCCAGCAGCAGCGCCCGCAACGGCGCCTTGTCGTCCTTGGGCGGCTGGCACTGCAGTCCTGGGGCGCAGTTCGGGGTGTAGACCCCGCACTGCTGCCCCTCTCTCCTGACACAGCCCTCAGCTTCTGCACAGCCCTCCTCTGGCGGTCCCCCATCCTCCTCCTCCACGCAGCCCCCTGGACAGCCCGCCTGCACCCCCTGCCCGCAGCCTGGGCACCGCGCCAAAGCGCCTCCTGGGCTGGCAGCGAGCAGCAGAGTTAGCAGCAGCAGCAGTGGCGGCAGCAGCCTGTGGGGGGTCATGGTCAGGATTTTTGCCCCGTCCGCTCCTCCCGAGCAGTTGTAGCGCAGCTGCTGCCCGCCGCGGCCCCTCTGCCTTAAGTACCCGCCGGTCTGGGGCCCGGCCCTTTAAGAGCCAGGTGAAGGGGGGGGGGGTGGAGAAGGCAGGGGCATTCCCTAAACTGGGTGGGACTGGAGAGCACCCCCCCACCTGGGTCCTCCCCACTCTTCTCTCTCCCCTCCCTTCCCAGTTTCTGTTTACTTCCCAAATTGCTCTGATTTTTCTTGCTTTGTTCCTGGGAATCTAGCCCGGAATTTGGGAGCCGTACAGCTGGCTGGAGGGAATGGAGGGTGGGGAGGGGTGGAGGAAGGGGAGGACGGGAGTGATAGGCACTTTGTGCGCGTGTAGGAAGATGAAGGACAGGCAGGGGCTCCTGTGGGGAGTGGGAAGATGGGATCTAAAAGGGAGCAGAGAAGGGATGGGTGTTCCCAAGAGGGATGTGGATGAATGTGTAGAGACAGAGAAAAGATGGAGATGAGGGATGATGGGGTCGTGGGAGAACCTACTGCTGGTGGGAGAAGAAGACCAACCCAGAGGAGAGGAGGGGCCAAATTGAAAGGAGCAAGAGAACTTATCCCTGAAATGTGGCCATGGGGAAAAGGGTGTGAGGGATGCCAAACTGGCATAAGATGATAGAATGGGTTGGGGAAGCAGAGGCTGAAAGGGGGAAGGGGAATACACCCTGAATGAACTGTGGGAAACCCTAACATTGTGATGGGGCATGTTGAGTCTGGAAGCATTGGAGAGGGGCTGAATGCACAGGGAGAGAACTGGCCGAACGCCTGGGAGGGAGGAAAAGGGGAGAATTAGGTAGCTGAAACTATGGAGTGGGACAAATGTTAGAGGAGCCTATATTCTGCATGCTCTTGGGGATAGTAGCCAGAGAACAGACCTCCACACACACAAGCCTACCCTTCAGGTCAGTCTGCTCCTCTATTCCTCTCCTTTCCCCTCTTCCATCCCCTTCTCCCCCAGCCATCTGTTGGGTTTTCTGCATTCATGAGAATGTTGAAAAATGAAGTGCCCAGGGGCCTTCGGAGAGGGACTGGTCTGGGTGTTTCAGTCTGCCCACTTGTCCGCCTTAACTCCAAGGGTCTGCCTCAACTGCTGCCCACCTGCTTCCCCAGCACTCCTTGCAAAAGGGAGGAAGAGAGACTGTTTCCTTCGGCAACCCACTCCCGCCCAGCTGCAGGTTATGCAACCGGCCATCTCATTCTTTCCTAAAACAAGGGCTCTGGGCAGTGACTAAGTTTAAATTCTGGGCCCCCAAGCAAGAATGTCAGCA